CACTATACTGTTCTCCTGAAACTAATATAACCCTGTATGTTAACTACATTGGAATTAAAATAAAACAATTTTTTAAAAAGATTTTTTATCTTTACTACTTGCATGCTGAAAATTATGACAAAGTAATCTCTAAGTCCAAATGCTTAAAAAGACCAAGGAACTGGACCTGAACCAAATAATACTGCATGTTACATTGGGATTGGAAGCTAGACCAGTAACGCATTCCTCAAAACACAAACATATTCCACAGCAGGAACATACAAAACCCAACAAGGCGGTGAACCAAAGTCAGCCCATAATATCCCCAAAGGAATAATCTTCACACTTAGCAACTCACTCTGCCTTCATGACTCAGAGATGATAGCAGTGTGCTCACATGTGTGTGTGTGCATGTGTGTGTGTGTGTGTGTTTACACGTGGGTTAGTCTTTAGTCCTTTGGACAAGTTTTTTTTTTTAAATATTCATTAAATATTAGCTTGCCCCTTACTTCACTTCACACATTTCACTTATACCCATCACACTAACTCTTAGCAGGATTTCAAAGTTAAGCCTTTCCTGCAGAACAAGGAAACAAGAAGTTTTTCCTTGTATCCCCAGAATATTCTTTGGTCTTGTGCTATTCTCATTATGGCCTCCTACAGTCGTATTTTATTTCCTTTTCATTCTTACTTTGTCTTGCATTGGCTGAATCCAGAGCCAGCCACAAAAACCAATGTAGAAACAGATCCTTATGGATTCAAAGGTACCCTGGTCAAAACTCAGTGTCTTGTCTTTCCCAGTCTTCCCTGAATACCTCCCTTTACTCCTTCAGAAGCTTTAATTTATATATATATAAAGCCGTAAGTCAGAAAATGAGTTAAAACATCTGGCGCCCAGAACCAGAACAATCTGGTTCCCCAGGTATCAGGAAAAGAGAAAATAGTTTTTAAAATGATTTTCCAGGGGCGCCTGGGTGGCTCAGTCATTAAGCGTCTGCCTTCCACTCAGGTCATGATCCCAGGGTCCTGGGATTGAACCCTGCATGGAGCCCTGCATGAAGCCCCACATGGAGCCCTGCAACAGGCTCCCTGCTTGGCAGGGGCCCTGCTTCTCCCTCTCCCACTAGCCCCCACCCCGCTTGTGTTCCCTCTCTCACTGTCTCTCTCTGTCAAGTAAATAAATAAAATCTTTTTAAAAAATGATTTTCCATTCCACATGAGCTTATTAATGGAGCTACATTTGTCTTGTCCTTACTGCTTGGAATATGGCAAGAAAGCAATATTCTTATAGAGATATTGGTGTAGGAGAAGAAAAAATTCCTATTCCTTCTACCTTCCTAGGTTCTGCAGCTAGGGCCTTATAAAATAAAACTAACAAAAAACAGATTAAAAAGAAAAAAACAGTTTATTAATGCATGCAGCACATATCATGCAGGAGAAACCTCAATAAAGAGTAATTCAAAGAGGTGGTTAGATCATGGGCTCACATAGCATCTTAACAAAAATACAATAAATTTGTGCAGAAGAGACAGGACAAAGGAAAAGGAATTTAGGTTTCCAAGGGTAGCAAACTGCAGGAAGGTAAATACGTGTGGGAAACTAATGCAGTAGGCTTCATTTCTGCATCTGTTGAATCTCATCTGCCTCCACATCAAAATAATCCCCATGTCAAAGTAGTATATTTTGGAATGGAATATTTTAATCCTTTAACCTAGTATTACAGAAGAGATCTGTGATAAATAAAATGTGCATTCAGAAGTATTTCCAGTGCTCATCAATATCTCCCCTTCTTGGATATACAGCAAGATTTTATTTTCTTGCACCCTTGAAATTAGGCATGGCCATGTGACTTGCTCTGGCCAAATGAGAGAATCATTTAAGTTCTGGTACATGATTCTCCTTTCTCTCCTTCCTGTGTTCCTGCACACCCTGCAAATCCATGCTGAGATGATAGTGTCTTAGGATGGTAGAACCTTCATCACCCTGGGCTCCTGCTTACCTCCTGCTGTTTTAAACACTGAGATATGGGGCTTGTTTATTTTTACAGCATAAACAACTTTCCCTGACTAATGTAAAAAATAGACAGTCTGCTCTGAAAATCCAGGATTCTAAGACTTGGGAGAAGAATTCACTTTATCAGTAGTTTTCTCTCTTCATGTGTCCTCATGACATTCGAATTCTGCGTATGTATCTCAGGTCATTTGAGATTAGTTTTATCACAATTAGGGGGTTGAGAGGAACTGGAATAAGAAGGAACCAGATGAATAAACAATACTAGGCTTCACTTTGACTTACTTGCTTTACTTACAATTACATTTCTGCCTGTTGTCTGGTGTGACCCTGCACGTATGAACTGCTTTTACTTTACATAATGGAACCACCACAATTCTCAAAGCCTATACAGCTCTCATCCTCCCTTTCCACTTGTTGGAAAACAGGGCGCTGATTTTAAGTCTTATCCATTATCTCTAGTTAGAATATCAGCTCTTCGGGGCGCCTGGGTGGCTCAGTCGGCTAAGCGGCTGCCTTCGGCTCAGGTCACGATCCCAGGGTCCTGGGATCAAGCCCCGGGTTGGGCTCCCTGCTCAGCGGGAAGCCTGCTTCTCCCTCTCCCTCTGCCTGCCACTCTGCCTACTTGTGCTGTCTTTCTCTCTGTTAAATAAATAAATAAATAAATAAATAAATAAATAAAAAGAATATCAGCTCTTCATCTGAAGACTGTTACATGTGATAGAGCACAAAGGGCACTTCATCTCTGTTATACTTTTTATAAAAACCCAGGAGTACTGACAAGTACTCAAGAGTGTTAAGGTCATGAGAAACAAGGAAAGACTAAGAAACTATCACAGACCACAAGAAACAAGGGAGATATGACAATGCAATGCAATATGGCACCATGAATTTGATCTTGGAACAGAGAACATTAATGAAAAAAACTAGTGAAATCCAAATAAAGTCTGGAATTTAGTCTACAATAATGTGTCGATATCACTTTCTTAGTTTGGGCAAATGTATTATAAGATATTAACAATGGGGGAAACTGGATGAGGGGTATACAAGAACTCTCTGTACTGTCTTCACAAATTTTCTATAAATCTAAAACAATTCAAAAACAGAATTTTTATTTTTATTTATTTTTTTACTTATATATATATATATTTACTTATATAGATTTTATTTACTTATTTGTCAGAGAGAGAGAGTGAGAGCGAGCAGCAGGCAGAGGGAGATGCAGGCTCCCCGCTGAGCAGGGAGCCCAATGCAGGACTCAATCCCAGGACCCTGGGATCATGGCCTGAGCCGAAGGCAGACGCTTAACTGCCTGAGCCAACCAGGTGTCCTGCAGAATTTTTATTTTTTAAAAATAGACAACTGAAGGATAGACTTACCATTTGTGCATATCTATCCTTCCACCACATCTTCAAAAAAAAAGCCATAACTATATTCCTATGTTTCTAAAAATAACTGTTTCTCCTACATCTAGAAATAAGGGGAAATATTCATTAACCTTCCTCTAAGAAAGATAAGGAGAATATTCTTGCTTATGAGAGTATTCTCCACATGCAAAAAGAACATTTTTCAAAATTCATTGTTCTTGATCTCCCTTCTTCCCTATGTGCTCATATCACCTAGAGCTGTTGCAAAATTAGTGTTTTGAAAAATGTCTCTAAAGAGAAGAAGGGCAGGGCTGATCGAGACCTAGGGAAGGATATTCTAAAAGGGAAGTCAGGTGGAAACTGGAACCAGTTGTGTAGGACATGGTATAAGTAAAAGGTAATAAGAAGAGAAGAAGCCAGAGATAGAAGACAGAAAAGGTAAGTTGAGCAGAAGGGTGAGTTGATAGGAGCCATGATGCATATAACTTCAACTGTAAATTGCATAACTGGGACCAGTTTTTGGTTTCTGAGCTGGCCAGGAGAGGCTAGATGAGACAGAGAGATATAGGCCTACCTACCCATAGTGTCTATAAAACTCCTAAGCACCACAGGTATACCCTAGTGGGCTACAAGGCAGGCCATGCCAGGGGAGAGGTCTGGAAGACATTATCTGTGGGTTATGACTGCCTCTTGGTCACCCCCAATTACTACATGTTACGGTCTTAATTATATATGGCCAAATTAATATGCTGAAGCCCTAACCCCCATTTACCTCAGAAAGTAACTCTATTTGGAAACGGTTGGAGATGGGTTTTTAAGGAGGTAGTAGTTAACCCAAGGCCATTAGGGTAGGCCCTAATCTAATCCGACTCGCGTTCTTAGAAAAGAAGGAGATTAGGACACACAAAGGGATGACCATACAAAGAGGAATGTCATTTATGCACCAAGGAGACAGGTGTCAGGAAAACAACTCTATGGACACTTTGATCTTGGACTTCCAGTCTCCAGAACTATGAGAAAATAAATTTCTGTTCTTTAAGCCACTCAGTGTGTAGTAATGAGAGCCCTAGCAAACTGGTACATTACGTGATGTCTTCTCTACATTCCGAGTAACCAATCCCCACTTTTCCTCTCTGGTCTTTATTTTTTTTAATATAAGATGCAATCAAAGTAATGGATAATAAATATCCTAATATGGATATTAGACCCAAAGTCTTAAGTTGGACCGTTCTAAAAATGCGTCATTTCATCATTTCCCTTTATATCCTTGGAAATTATTGAAAATACTGTGAAAGTCATGTATTTTTGTTTTTATATGTGTGTTTTACGTGAAACAGCTGCTCCTAACATAAAAACTATTGAGATAAGAACTTACTACCACACTAAAACAGTGGATCTGGGCCTTTTGGGAGGTCATATCTCCTTCTGAAAATACGATAGGACATCTTGCCAAATTTGCACACACATATGTATACATCAACAGGCACACACCCATCTACAGAAATTCAGGGAGTTCACAAACCCCCTGTTGCTCATCCACATATGCCCAAGCTCCAGGAGTCTCTTTGCACTCAGATTCATAGTTCTTGTCCAAAGAAGTTAGTAAGAATCACATAATCCATAAAAGGGCACCTGTAAACCTACCTGCCAGGCTGAATTTGCAGAGTAGAAGGAACATCCACAGTGCCCAGGCCCACATTGTCCCCAGGTTAATGCAGGCAGGCTGAGGAGAGAACTGAAAATGTCATCAGTCAAAAGTTAGTTTCCTATCTCTTTTAAACAACTCTATTTCCAGTGATAGATTCTGGGGGTTTTAAGGAAGAATCCTTTATTTTTTTTAAAATTTTTTTCCTTATTTTATATTTTTGGCTATCATCACATAGATCGCTTTACAATTACTTCATCAGCCCCAGTCATCATTTAATTTGTCCATAATTCATTCCACTATGTAATATGAAAAGTACACCAGCCACCAAGAAATAAAGTACTGTGAGTCATATAGATCTGAGACCATCATCTGTTCTCTGCCTCAGGCCCTAGCACTGTGGCCAAATGGAATGACTCCTAATTTCCACAAAGTGCCATGGTATTTCACATCCCTTATTCCTCTTATTCCTCTAAGTAAGTACCTACTGATACAAGATAGACATACAATATTGTTAATGGACTTAATTAGAACAAAAAGGCTACTGACTCTTTATCTCATCCCATAGAGAGATGGTGGGATAATCTAGAGTTAAAGCAAATGAAAAAGCAATAACTCATTTCTGGAAAAAAAAAAAAAAGGACTCCAAATTTCATCTGACAGATCATTATAGGAAAAAAGAAACAGTTCTCAACAAAATAAATCATTTGAGAAAAAAATCACATGCATCATTTCTGGAGAAAACCACCAGGATAAAATGTTCTCACCAGGATAAAATTGAAACATCTTATTAATTGAAAATGCCTATGGCAATAAAGCAGAATGAAAACTTGATTTAAATGAGTATAAAATAAAGGGAAATTTTTAAATTTTTTAATGAAGAATAAGTGTGTTCTTCAAAATTAATCATAACACCAATAGTATTTGTCAGTGCCTAATTATTCAGAACATCGTCTTAATTTTCTCCATTTCTTAGCTGGAAGACATACCTTTACACTAGTTCTAAAAGCATTCTGGAAAGGCAGGGAGGTCCAACCATGAAAACTCTATAAAAGCTATGAATCTCAAATTCTCAATAAATAAATAATTATGGATGTGAAAGCTAAATTATTCTGACATGGGGTTTTATTTTTTAAAATCTTATCAATATTAACTGTTGAATAAAACATTTTAAAATTAATGGAAATTACTGTTTGCCTCCTTTAAAATGAGAATACTCATCTATTATTTGTGAATTTTAAAAAAATCCTTCTCAAAAAAATCAACAGTATTAAATCATACTCAGAGACAAAATTAGAAAAATTGCAGTAGTTGGAGAGGGGCATTCTAGAAGATGACACTGCCTAAGTGTTCTAGCCCTGGCACCCCCTTGAATCAGCTGGTGACCTCAGGTATTCTCTTATTCATTTAGCAGTGTCCCAGCCATACATTAGGTGCTTGGAATAAAAGATAATCCTGTCCCCAACTTCACTGTAGTTCAATGGTTTTTAACAAGGAGAAGGGAGTCAGAGGATGGGGAGGATGCAAAGTAAGCTACTGTTACTAATGGCTCTGTATCATATCCCTCCAAATGGGTTTGAGAAGAAAAAAAGTTTGAGAACCATGGATCTACTTGCAGAGACAGAAGCGTGGATACTAATAGCAAATATCACATGGTAAGTGCTGTAATTATAATAGTGCAACAAGAGTACAAAGCATCTGAGACAAATGAGCCAAAGACTATGGAAAGCCAACAAGTGGTGCTAAATAATGATGCCCCTCATTCTACCACTTTCCTGCCCTCTAGTGCCTTTTCCCTTCCCCTCACACACCAGAGGACCATCACAAAGTGATTGCTTGTGGGTAGTGAACATGAACAAATCTGAGGTGCCTCCGAGGAACTTAGCAATAAGTTCAAATGGGAGTTTAACTAGCAAAATCTGTGTACGAAGGCCATCCTAGTTATTTTTGGGAGTAAATCAGGGGGTAAATATGCAGTTGTAGAACTTGGGTTCACTCTAAACTCCAGGCAAGGAAATCTGGGCATAATCTCAGACAGGTGGATCTGGAAAATCATTATCACTTAGTTGCAGGGAACTACTTGACTAATTGTATCTCAAATAGAAGGAGACTGTGAGAATACAAACAACAAGTCTCCTCAGACTTTAAAATGTTGATGGTTAAAAAAAGAAGTTGGCCAAGCTTATCAGTACTATCTCCTGGAGGAAATGATGAAATTTCCTGGTACTGGAACAAGGCAACCCATCAGACCTAACCACAGTCTTGATGAAAGAAAACTCAAAACCAAAAATCTCCACCATTGCTGTGAAGCCTTCTTTGATGATTAATTTAGGGGAGGAAACCCTGAACAAGGGACGTGAGTCATTAGACAGACTACCCTTGGGGCACCTGGGTGGCTCAGTCTGTTGCACAACCAACTCTTAGTTTCGGCTCTGGTAATGATCTCAGGGTTGTGAGAGGGAGCCCTAAGTCGGGCTCCATGCTCAGCAGGGAATCTCCTTGAGGATTCTCTCCCTCTGCCCCTTCCCCCACTCATGCTCACTCTCATTCTCTTGCTCTCTCTTTCTAAAATAAATCTTTAAAGACAAGAATCCCCCCACTCCCTTTGAGCACAGTAAAGGTGTCACCTGTTCTCTGGACAGTAGTCATATTCTTAGTGCCTCTTCTAATGAGACAATTCGAATTCATGTTTAAAATCTGGGAAAACCCTGAAGGAATTTTGCGACCATCCCTCCTTTGTTAATGAAGCAACTTTTACACAAGACGGACCTTATATTAGTGCATCCTCTGATGGCACTGTAAAGATCTGGAATATGAAGACAACAGAATGTTCAAATACCTTTAAATCCCTGGCAGCACTGCAGGGACAGATATCATGGTCAACAGTGTGGTCCTGGTTCCTAAAAACCCAGAGCACTTTGTGGTGTGCAACAGATGAAATAGAGTGGTCATCATGACCATGCAGGGTCAGACTGTCAGAAGCTTCAGCTCTGGTAAGAGAGGTGGTGGTGATTTTCTTTGCTGCGCCCTCCCTCCCCGTGGTGAATGGATCTACTGTGTAGGGGAGGACTTTGTGCTCTACCGTATTAACACAATCACTGGCAAACTGCAGAGAACTGGGACAGTTCACGAGAAAGATGTGATTGGTATTGCACATCAGCCTCATCAGAATTTGACTGCTACCTACAGTGAGGATGGACTCCTAAAGCTCTGGAGACCCTAATTCCATTTTTTTTTTTTTAAACTCGCTGAGAGCATGTACTTAAGTGAAGACATATTCATGTATTGCTTTTTTTTTTTTAGGCTACCTTTTCTCAACAATTATCTGAATGTAGGCACAAGAATAATTTTGTGAAAATTCATGTTCAAAAAAAAAAAAAACCCCATCAGTCTCTTGGGAGTCTAAATGAGGTAACTCACCCTCCCTAAAGCTGAGCAATTCTGGGGTGTAGCAAGACTCTGGGTCCTAGAAAATTCACAAAGATTATGCCATGCTCGCAATGTCCACAATAGCCAAACTATGGAAAGAGCCAAGACGTCCATCAACAGATGAATGGATAAAGAAGTGGTGAGATAGATAGATAGATAGATAGATAGATAGATAGATAGATAGATAGATAGATAGATAATCAGCTCGATCCCAGGACCCTGAGACCATGAAACCAAGAGTCGGATGCCCAACTGACTCAGCCACCCAGGCACCTCAGAAATGTTTTAAAACAAGATACGTTTTCCAAACTCATGTTTTATTTTAAACCCATGCCCTCACCTTTTTCAGGCAATGTTCCACTAAGTAAAAAAGTTTAGCAGAAGTAAGGAGAAAGAGAGGTAGTCTCTTAACTAGTAGATTATGTATATATATATATATATATATATACATATACATACACACACACACAGTGGAATATTATGCAGCCATCAAAAAAAACCCCGAAATCTTGCCATTTGCAACAACATGGATGAAACTAGAGGGTATTATGCTAAGCGAAATAAGTCAATCAGAGAAAGACATGTATCATATGACCTCACTGATATGAGGAATTCTTAATCTCAGGAAACAAACTGAGGGTTGCTGGAGTGGTGGGGGGTGGGAGGGATGGGTGGCTGGGTGATAGACATTGGGGAGGGTATGTGCTATGGTGAGTGCTGTGAATTGTGTAAGACTGATGAATCACAGTCCTGTACCTCTGAAACAAATAATACATTATATGTTTAAAAAAGAAGAAGAAGATAGTAGGAAGGGAAAAATGAAGGGGGGGGATTCGAAGAGGGAGATGAACCATGAGAGACTGTGGACCCTGAGAAACAAACTGAGAGTTCTAGAGGGGAGGGGGTGGGGGGATGGGTTAGCCTGGTGATGGGTATTAAAGAGGGCACATATTTAATGGAGGACTGGGTGTTATACACAAACAATGAATCATGGAACACTACATCAAAAAAAATTAATTAATTAAAAAAAAAAAGATTATGCCACGTTCTGGAGAAAATCAAAACCATATTCTGCATTCCCCAGGTCATCAGTCCTAACTTCTAAATGCTTTGAACAACTGTCTTCAATAAAAGGACACTTCCTAGAAATATACAGTTTCTCATTAGTGGGACCTCATTTGAATACAGCATTTAATGGAGACCCAGAATTCTCAAACAACGCTATGAACATTCCACATTGGACTAAAGGACTCTTAGAATATATAGTGATGCCACTTAAGTAACCTGTGGTATCTTATCTTTAAAGGTGTAAACCCAGTAGTAGCTACTGTTATGAGAAGAAGGACTGAAAACACATCCAAGCAATTACTGCTGGCTACGCACAGAGCCTGGGGACAAGACAAGAAGCAGGAAACAAAGGAGAAGATGCTTCCTCTGCCAGTTTCTGCTAAAAATGTTAGCATGTTAGATTATCCCTGCCTTCCCACATCCTGTCTCATAGACCAAAGCAAAAGAAATAGTGTGGGTGTTCTACTCTGTAGCAGTCCCCCATTACACCCACCCACTCCCCCCACCCCAACACACACAAGCTGTCCTTTGGCAGTTCAGTAATTCCCACTCAAGGCTGCATCCTAGATGCAAAGTTTCATCTGAAAACACTT